GGTAGCCAAGGGATCTATTTTGAGAATATATAATCTCAAGATCACTTCCCTGTCTCCTCCGTTGAGTATTCATTTAATTTTAGCTGTATGGCTACTTTGTAGGACTCAAAATAAATACAGAAAAATTATCAGATGTAGGAATTCTTTTTTCTCCAGTTTTTCTTTTGAATAACAATATACTGTTTCATGGGTAGTGTGAGTACCTTGTAGCAGAATATTCTCAGTTCTCCCATAATTTATAATTTTGCTGTCATTAATTTTTCTTTTCTATAGACTATAATCACCAAAAACATTGTTGCTTTTATTTTCAACGAACTGTTTGTTGTCTGTTAGGTCAATTAAAAATGATTATAAAACTTATTAAAACCCTTATTTATTTCTTCTCTAACACTCTTCTTTCTTTATGTAATCCAAATTTCTGACCTATATAATTTTCCTTCTTTTTGAACAATTTTTTATTAACATTTCTTGCAAGGTAGATATACTCACAAAAGAGTCTTTCAGTTTTTGTTTGAGAAAGTCTTTACTTCTCACTTTTGAAAGATAATTTCGCTGGATACAGAATTGTAAATTAGTGAGTATTTTTTTCTTTCAGCACTTTGAATATTTCAGCCTGCTCTCTTCTTGCATTCATGGTTCCTAAGAGAACTCTGATGTATTGTTATCTTTTTACCTCTATAGGTAAAGTCCCCCACATCCCTCACTCCTCCAAATCTCCCCATACTCCCAGTCTGGCTTCTTTCCAGATTTTTTCTTTGTATTTGGTTTTCTGCATTTTTAATATGATATATCCAGGTATAGTTTTTGCTTTTTATTCTTCTTGGAGTTCTTTATTCTACCCAGATCTGTGGTTTTATGTCTGTCATTAATTTTGGAATATTTTCAGCCATTATTACATCAGATAGTTCTGTTCTTTGTCTTCTCCTTCTGGTATTACTATTATACGTGTATTAAACCTTTTGTAATTATATTACATTTCAGATATTCTGTTCCATCTTTTCATTTGTCTCTTTGCTTTTCAGTTTTTGAAGTGGCTACTGACATATCTTGAAACTCTTTGATTCTTTTCTTGGTCATGTCCAGTCTCCTGATGAGCCAATCAAAAGCATTCTTCATTTTTATTAGTGTCTTTGATCTATCATTTCCTTTTGGTTCTTTCTTGGAGTTTCCATCTCTCTGCTTACATTACTCATCTGTTCTTTTATGCTATCAACTTTTCCTAATAAGTCCTTTAGCATATTACTTACTGTTTCAAATTCCAGGTCTGATAATTCCTAATTTTCTGATGCTTGATATGTCCCTTCAGGTTGTTTCTTTTTGCCTTTTACTGTGCCTGGTAATTTTTTGTTGAAAGCTGGACATGATGTATTGGATAAAAGGAACTTGGGTAGATAGGTCTTGAGTGTGAAGTTTTATGGTTATTATGGCTAGAAGTCAGGCTGTGTTTACTATTTGCTGAAGCTCTGGTGTCCAAAGCTAAAATTTCCTCTTATGTCCTTATTTTTGTTTTCTCTGATGTCTTTGGGTTTTCCTAGAGACCGTAAGAAGGGGTGAGTCTTGCAGTTCTTTAAGTGTGTCCCATTCCTTGTTATTATATAGGAGCCCTCTCGGTATGGTGGTGATGTGGAGAGAAGTGGGAGGAAACCTTCTATAGTACTGTAATTAGATCTCGGGCTTTTTGTGGGCCTTTTGCTTTCCCTGTATTAGTTAGATTCTGGTAACAGTTCTCCTTGCAGGCGGGCCTTATTAAGGAGAGCAGAGTTCAGTAGTAGTTCAAAATGCTTACTTTTCTCCCTCCCCTGCTGGAAGCAGGAGGGGATTTTTCCCTAATCTCCACAGTGAGTTGGCTCATGGAAGGTAAAACTCACAGAAGTTTGGGGAATCCTCCTTTAAGGCTGAGCCCTCTCCTAATTTTTATTCTTAAGCTAGTCTTCATTTTGAACCTCTAGAAATTGATCAGTTACTGTTGAAAGTGTTCCTACCCCAGGACTGGCTTCAGCCAACAGTTTTGCACTTGGGCTTTTGTTACTAGTAAGCCCTGATTCTGTCTCTCTGCCTGTCTGTCTCCAATTTTCTGGGCAGCAGTTTGCCCTGTGACCTCAGTTCTCTGATGGATCTAAGAGAGTTGTTGGTTTTCACTTCTTCAGCTTTTTACTTTTTGTGAGGATAGGAGTGACTACTTCCAAGCTCTTTAATTGAGGCCAGAACCCAGAAGTTCCTATGTTTCTTATTAGAATGAAGATTTCACTTTAGAGCTTTCTTATTAATCTCTTAAGCCTTTTCTTTTCCTTGTATAAACTTCACTGGAAACAATGTTTGTAGTAAATATTTGAACATAGATTACATTTGAGCAGAGATACTTTTTTCATCTTTCTTTTTAAGTTATCTTTTGATTTATTGATTTTTCTAAATACAGACTGCAGTTGTACTCAAGCTATAAGGCTACGAATCCTTGATACTTTCTTTCTAGGCCATAATTCAGCAGTTAGAGAAGATTGTTTTTTTAAGCCTGAAGCACTTATCTTCCTCAAAGGATGTAGATAAGATGAATAGTGAAGAGTATTTGTGTACTGTTTTGAAGTACCTTCAATGCGCCACACACTACCCTGTGTGGATACAAGTAAATATAGGGTATCTAAACTGTAGTGTTCTGAGGCTAAGTCAGGTGACAGGCAAATGATATCAAACTTTTATACTTCAGTCATGTCCAGTGGAGCACAGAGGTGGGACATTTTGTTTTATCTTGGAGGATTGGAATGAGGCAGGGAAAATGACACCTAAAGCAGGTGACTTGTGATGTGTCTCTGGAGGATGACGAGGGCTGAGGACAACATTCCAGGCAGAGAGAACTGCCTGCGAGATAGATGGTCTACTCTATGGTTGCTTTCCTTCTGCAATCAGGGCTTGGAAAGCAAGGCCAATTGGGCAAGTTAGGTAGTGTTTCTCCAACTCTGCCTTATGTATGGTTTTATTAGAACAGACATTTGCCCTATAATGTTTTTCAAGGTCAAATGTAAGCAGGTTTTAAATTGCTGTATATTATCCTGTAGTATGAAATTGAGAATTAACTGTAATATTGTATTTCATATTGACATAAGATATGAACTGCCAAAATGGTTTAATTTTTTAATTGTCAAATTATGTCTTGTATCTTGTGTGTAGTAGAACATTTGAGTTTGTGTTTGATTGGTTCTATTGTTCCTTTAAATGTAAATATATTTTATAACTTCATAGAAGGGAATTTTCGATTGAAAAATTGTGCTGAACACTGGAATTTGACACAACACTGTAAAATGATTATGAATCAATAAAAATGTAAAAAAAAAAATAGAAGGGAATTTTCAGAAATGATAACCTACTCATTTTAGCTTGTGTCATTTAGTTAAGCTATTTCTCTTGAAGTACCAGTCCATTATATAACTTTATGCATTATGTTTAGCCTCATCCTACATATTTTTAGCTTATTCCTTCAGGTCTATAGCACTGCCACTGTCTGGTGAAGGTATAATAAACATAATTTTAATTACTATGTATATTATAGGAATAGTATTCAATTAATAACTAACAGATTATTGCCTAGTTGTAGTTTAGTGTTGTAGCTTTTGAAATGACTATTACCAGTCAAGGTAAAGCTGTAGTATACTATTTCTAAAATGAATGAAAACATATACAAGAAGAAAGAGTTTTCAACTCCTTAAAGAAAGCAGGGTAGTGAATCTATTTTAGATTACAAAAGGCAGCACCAAAGCAACTGACATCTTAATTTGCTTTGAAAAAATTATCTTCTGATTTTGTTCCATAAAATTAGACTTTCACTTACGTTGCTGCTAAAATTATTCTCTGAGATACTGTGCATAGATGATAAAAGATATTTTTGAAGAAACACTCCTTAAAATGACCTTTAAAGCCTTTTAAATCATTGCTGTTACTCCAGACATCTCAGTCTTCACTGTCTTTGCTTTCATTAATAAGAATAGGGTATTAGTTTTCTATTGCTACTGTAACAAATTACCATAAAGTTAGTGGCTTAAAGCAACACAAATATATTATCTTACAGTTCTTTAGGTCAGAAGTTCAGTATGAGTGTCACCAGACTAACATCAAGGTGTTGGACAGACTGTTCCTTTTTGAAGGCTTTTACTACTTATTTGAGCTGTTGGCAAAATTTGATTTCTTACAAGTATAGGACCAAGGTCTTTTTTTCTTACTGGCTGTAAATTAAGGATTACCCCACCTTTTAGAGGCCACCACATTTCTTGGCTCATTGTCTCCTTCCTCCATTCAAAACTACTAGTGACCAGTTGAGGCCTTCTTCCTTTGTGTCTTTTTGATATTCTGTTCTTCTGTAATTTTCCAGTTATAAGGATGTATATGATTAGATTGGGCCAACTCAGATAATCCAGGATAATCTCCCCATCTTGGGTTTCTGATCTTAATTGTATTTGCAAAGTACCTTTTACCCTGTAACAGAACATATTAAGGTTCTAGGAGTTAGGATGTAGACATCTTTGGACAGTCATGTTTTTGCCTAACAGAAATGGTGATACAAACTGGTGCCTGATTTTGCTGCTTTAGTTTTCCTTTTCTGTTTAGTATACCGCTAACTTTTCCTTCCTTGATTCATTGAATACAAAAGAGGTATTAGGACTCAGCCATAATAATACTATATTAGATATAATACCTATAGGGAAATTTTAGGGGAACAGAATTATAGAAATACTGTAAAAAAGAAAATATGCTTACAGAGTGTTGCTTTGAAAAATATAAAGTCCTTATATATTTTTGTGAGTTTGTATTAACTAATTCTACTTCTTAATATTAAGGTCCATAGTTATTCAATACATAGCAGCAGGAAGTAAGCCAGTAAAAAGTCTCTTAATTTTATATCATAACATTCCAGATAGAGAGATCTCATTCAGAGCAATAAGTTTTAATAGTTAATGTGAATTTTGATAATGGATGACCTTGCATTTTAATATGTTTTTTTCTTTCCTACCTAGATCATCACGAAGTATGTGTATGAGCTCCTAGAAAAGGACTGTAATTTGAAAAAAATCTCTATTCCAGTAAGTCCAACTTTTAAAAATATTTATGCTTCCAAATAAAATAGTTTTCAATTCATAGGAAAACTTTTGTTTTAGGTTAACTAAGTTTAAATGTTAAGATCCTAGTGTTTTGATATTGATAGAGGTTGCATTAAATGTTCGTCAGCGTACCTCATCTCATTGTGCATGATAGTTTTTAAAAAGTAATATTCTTTGGTGTAAAGAAAGGAGATACTGATTTCCAGTCTCTTTTGAAAATGATGACACAAAAGGGGACTACCTTTTCTATACCCTTTCTCATTTCATTGGTATAATTGACTTTCGCTTATTTATTTGAAGTAAACCAAGGTACTTTTTGTTGCATTACACATTCACCATCTCTTTAATCATTTCTAGATTTTTTTAAATTATATGCTTGTTTTCTGTATTATTTCCTCTGTGTATTTCCAAATTCATTCCTGGTGCTTTCTGTTTCGTAATACTACTACTCCTCTTTTTGGCAGATTGCTTTTTTGAACTTTGGCACATTTTGTCATTTCAGAGTGGAAAAGTTTGAAATTTGTTCTCAGACTCAACTTCTCAAAAGAGCTTTTTTGTTTTTAATGTGAAACATGAAAGAGTAAGCTTTTAAATGAATTAATAGTACCTTATGTATGAAATGATGGTGGACTATAGATTAGATGATTTCACTGTCCCTGACAACTCTTTTATTTATGATCTATATGAATCTGGAAGACTTCATGAAAGTAATTTATTTAAAACACAAAACTTTGAATATTGATAATTTTGTTTACATTAAACTTTGCATGAAATTTTAAAATTCTTTGGGTAATGTTATTCTATGAATTGGAGGGTTTGAGGGTTTCTTAATACTCTCCATCCTCACAAATTAATTACATAGTTCAATTTTTAAGAAAAGAAATCTGTTTTATATTTAATTTTCTGTAGGTAACCTTAAGTACTAGGTCACATCTTAAGTCATTTATTCATTTATTCATTCATTCAACAAATACTTATTTAGGGTGCCAGGCACTGTTCCAAGTGCTAGTGACATACTTAGGGAACACAATAGTATTCTGTGTAATGGCTAGGCTAACCCTTGTTTATTTGAAAACTCCCCTTCCTTTTGAAATATATGAAAACCAAGATGTTAGTATCTTTTAGGGAGTGAATATACTAGTCTTTCTTGGATTCAAACCTCTTGTTTTAGTTTTGACTTTAGATCTAGTGTCTTACTCTGTTAAAACTGTATATTGAATTTGGTCTTCTGGAAAGTCAAGGTAGAATTTTGTAGCTTGATTCAGTCCTCTTTTCTTGTTAATTTTATTTTTTTCCCAAAGTTTCTGAAGAATGATATTTAAAGAGCCTTAGATTAATTCATTGTTAAAACAAAATTAATATTGAGTCCTGTAACTCTGTTGTACTTCTTCTTCCATGGAACCTTTAAACTCACTTTAATTCCCTAGATTTCCAGGACAAGTCACCAGATAATTGGCCATATTGATCATTTGAAATGATTGTTTCATTAATTTTCTTTATAGAAAGCCTGAGATTAGGTTTAGAATGACTTTGCTTTCTAAATCTGATCTTTTCCTCTCATTTAACTTTAGACTATTAAGCTAATAAACACAAAGCTTTACATTATATGAGACCTATAACAAAGTGTCAGGTCCATTTTTGGTTAGTAAAAAATTCTCTGATTTTATAAACTAAGAAGAAACAAAAAAAAAGTTGTTTTAGGGAATTAACCTCTTCTTAAATTATCATCACTTGTTTTATATTGTTGTGAAATGTTTATTCCCTAAATGTTAGTTTTCTCCTGAGTTCTCTTAAATCCCAAAGCTAGCAGTGAGAGTGAGGTTTTTCTTGTACAGAGTTGTTATTTTTCTAAAGCAACACCACCAAACTTTTTTTTCCTGATGGTGAACTGAGTTTTAGTTTTACAGTTTAACTGTTTAACAAGGAAAGAAAAACTTTTCTTTTTTTAAGTTACAGCGCTTTGTGGAAGCCCGTGATTTAATGGTAAAGATCACAATCCTTTCCCATGTTTACTCTCCACCTCACATATATAGGTACAAAATATTCTCAGTTATAGTATTTTACATTTGTGTAGAATATTGGGTATATAAATTAACTTAATAACTTGACTACAGATTTTTATTTGGTTTATTCAGTTATATTTAAATAGACATCAAAATTAGTGGGTTTTGTAAGTTATCCTCAAATGAATTCTTAACTGCTAAAAATTGTTTGGTGCAGTCTTACTGATCAATGGTCTTTGAAGTTGATTTGACTGTAAAGTGAGGTGGCACAGTGGAGTGTGACCTGTGTATGTATTCCTTAAGGAAAGCTCATCTTAATAAATTACCACTGTTTGAAGATAAGTGACCTTGGAACAGCCATTCTAAAACTTAATTAAGTTAATAAATAAAAAGTTCCTTTATTCATATTTTATTCATATAGATTTAAAATTAGCACTAACTTTACACAGAGTAAATTGTAGTTACCAACTGCAGGGATAAGAGTTCTGCATTAAATTGAGATGAATATTAGCCAATGACCAGCTGAAATACTGCTCTTACTCCTTAATCTTTAATACCACTACATTGTTCATTTTCATTTTTTTTCTTGAATATTATGATCTTCTCATATTTTTCAAGTCTACTTTCCTGGATGTTCAAGTAAAACTCTTGTTTATTTATTCATTCCTACCTTAATTTGTAGTCCCTTTAAAAATTCTTGAACAGTGTTATAATTATAAGAAAACACATTTTTATCTTCTGAGAATAAGTACTCTTCCAGTTTGAAAGTGATTACTGTGGAATTTAAAGTGCCAACATTCCATTGCTCAAAAAATTGATTCAGTTTCTTGGTAACAGGGGACTTAGGCGAATGGAAAAAAGAAACAGTGATCAGCACCTACTGGAAAGTTTATAGGTACAGGTTTTTTCATTAAGATAAACAGATGTCCATTTTCATAGCTATACCAGGATCCATTAAGGTCTCACCGACTTTAAGAGGCTCTCTTATTTCTGTGTATTTAGACATGCCTTTTAGGTAAATGGATGACTGAAAACCTTTGTGGCCTCTTTTTTATTATTCACTAGCAGCTTTGCTTTTTAATTTTTTCTTTTGTTCTTATTACCATTTTCTTTTTTAAAGTTATCTTAACTGAATGATTTCTCTGTTTCCACATAATGTTCCTAAGTAAAAGGGAATTTTTCTTCTCAGATTTGATTTTCTCTGTTTCTCATCTACTTTTCTTCCTCTGTGACTTCAGTCATACCCGCTGTCATCATAGTAATTTGTTTATTCTAGACATCATGGTCTAATATGGTTGTGTTACACTCCATACTTCTCCTACTGCATACTTAATTACTACTAACAAAAATACAGTTATGTCATTTTAATTCTTAGTATTGTATAGCTCTTTTAAAATTCTTTATAATCATGCATTAGTTTAATCTTCCATATGTGCTTTTTGGACTAGGCAAGTGTTATAACCAGTTAAGAGGATGCATTATTTAGTGAAATGCCTTTTATCTAAAGGAAGTCACTGGTGATACTTGATAAGGTTCTTTTTTCCAAAAGTTCATTCATTCTTTTATTAACTGAGTGCCTACAATGTTCCGGTTTCTCTTTTAGGCATTGGGAATGTAGCTAGAGACAAACAGAAATGTCTGTGCCTTCCTGGACTTAAATTCTAGCGGAAGGAGCAGGCAGTTAATAAACATATACAAACCAATCTATAAAGTAGAGGACGTTAGATTATGTGTGTTATGTGCTATGGAGGAAAATAAAACAGAGAAAAAGATTAGGGAATTCTTGGGGAAGTGTTTAATTGGGGGTGGTCAGGGAAGGCTTCACTGAAGAGGTAGTATTCTTTTTCTTAGACTCTGTGGCCATGCTCTTCTTGCCAAAATAATTGCCTTTTGTGCTCTGCTTACATAAATGGCTAAGCATGTATTTCTGACATCGGTCTGATTATTTTAGAAGTGGAGAAATTTTAATTTTTTTCTTATCCCAGGAGTAGTGACTGGGAATATGTAGAATCCAGGGCATTTTTGATATCACATTTTTGTCTCTTTTCTATTTTGATAATTGTATGAATATATACTGTTGACAAAGTGAAGTGTTATTGCATTACCTAGCACATGGATTGGCCTTTTCTATTTGAGGATGTGTTTATTACCAGCTGTCCAGATTTTAACTTCTAGCTCTGACCTGGGAGCACAAAAACTTCCATTCCTAGTTACTTGCCACTGCTGATGTGGAATACCACATATTACCATATGCCATGGCATATGTAATAAAAGGTTGAGGAGTTATTCTGAATCTTTCAAATCTAAATGATACATCATCTAGTTTAAACTTAAATATTAGGTATAATCAAAATGAATAAAAATATTCCCTTTCATTACTAATACATTAAATAAGGTCAGCAAAGTACACAAATAATTAATTCCTTCATAAAATAATTGCTGTATAAGCTTGTGTTCATACTCTGAATGAAATTTCAAAGTCTTTTTACATAGAACAGCAGGTGTTTCAATTTTTAAATAGTTCCCTCTCCTACCTTTTGAAAGCTTAGTAGTATTCCCTGCAAATATATGGTTTTCCAATATGTGTATCTTCCAATTGAGTTTTCCTGTTTTTTATTTTAGGTGCAACATGTTTCTGTTATAGAATTATAGACTTCATAGCTGTATGACCTTGGACAAGTTATTTAAACTTCCTAAGCTTCAATTTCTTCATTTATAAATGAGTATAGTAATAGTACCACATTAATAGAATTGTGATTCATTGAAATAATGTTTTTAAAACATTGAGCATAGTGTCTAGACCATAGGAAGCATCCCCAAATTAGTTACTCTTATTTATTAAATGGTAATATTAAATATACAATAATAATGGAGAAAGGTATAGATCCAATATTATTTTTCATATTTTTATATTTAAATTACTATCGTGTCTCTTTTACTCATCTACCTTATATGTAATTGTCAATTTCTAAAGAATATTTTAATTTTATTTTAAAGCTTTTTTACTTCTATACTTCTGTAATAGTCATTCTATAATTTATAGTAACCATTAATTGTTTTCTCATTTATGTCTATGCCTGATCAGAAAACATTTATTTATTATTTAATTTTTTTTAATTACAGGTAGATGCCACTGAGAGTGAACCAAAGAGTTTTATCTTTATGAGTGAGGATGCTTTGACAAATCCACAGAAACTGATGGTTTTAATTCATGGTAGTGGTGTTGTCAGGGCAGGTCAGTGGGCTAGAAGGCTTATTATAAATGAAGATCTGGACAGTGGCACACAGATACCTTTTATTAAGAGAGCTATGGATGTAAGTGCAATTTCCTTTATATTTTTTGGCATTTTATAGCTCTGTCGTCTTATGTGTTATAAATTATTTTATCATGTCTTTTAAAAAGTCTATCCTAAACATAAACTTATCTTTAAGTTATTATTTAGTCTATTTGTAGTGAAAGATTATTCTTCATTATTTTGCAGTTGCAACAAAAACAGAAGGCTTCTTATATGTACACAGATTTAGCTAATGTCTTTGAAATAAGTATTTTCAGTTCTAAATTTTTTTGTTTCTTATTACATAAAATAGCACTTAAATAATCAAATACTTATCAGTGTTATTGAAAATACTCCTGAAAAAAAATCATGACTGCTTTTGCAAATCTTTGCCTATCTTGTTTAGTGAAGTTAAAAATTAAAGGGAATCTGCTACTTTAAGTTAATATCTTATTATTTAAAAGGAGACTTAGAATAATTCAGTGTTTTTTGTCAGTTCTTTAAAAAACTCTTTATAGCCCACAAATAAAGTGCTTTAAGAGTAAGACATAGAGATATAAAATGGTAAATTGCAGTATTTACTGAATTACTTTATTCGTACTTGAATTCAAACTTTTTAGAAATTACTATTTTAACATTGTGTTCAATGTTTTCTTTCCTGTAATAGTGAACTTGCTTTGTCTGACCTAGCTTTGTTACGTCTTAATGTTTGGTGACTTGTTACTGTCTTATTCCTAAGTTCTGCAATGAATAAGCTACATTTTGCAGAGTTGGTTTTCCTTCACATGTGAATAGAGATTTTCTTCAGAAAAAAATGAAGTGACACCCTGTATAAAGGTTTAATAAAAGAAGGCAAAATTATTCAGGAATATATGTGTACATGTATGCTCTATAAGAGCTACATTATTGCATTTTTGCAATTAAAATTGGAAAGCAATTATTTAATACACTGATGATTGAAAAAATCAAAGACAATATATTTTCCTGCTGTGTTAACTCTGAAATGATTAGATTAAGGGCCAGCCCAGCTCCTAATGAATATTTTTTTAAACAGATTTTGAGGCCCTTAAAATGCTGCAAGTAGAATTTCTTAAGTGAATTGTGTATTATTTTCAGTCTTTGCGGACTTTCCGAGAACATAAAGATATTATTTTGATTGGTTGCAAACTTCCATAGTGTGTTTTTAGTAAAATTTAAGTAATTAAAATAAATTTAAATTGAGATTTAAGTAATTCATATAATATGTTATTTCAACTGTTTCATATTTCAGGTTATGAATAGTAAAATGAACTTTTTCTCTGGCATATTAGTTTGTGGTTAGAACAGATCCTGTCGATGTATTTTAAGAACATTATTTGTGAAATGTGATCACAATTCAGTGAATATTTGACCATATATAGTTTAGTAAAGAAAATCAGAGGTTTGTACATATGAATGCCTGGTGAAATATTTGCTATAAATTACATTGTCCCTGCTATTAGATCAACTCAGCCTTACCGATTCTAGAATATTTTACTGTCGTATATCGTTTTTTGAGTTGAAAGAATGTATGGGAAGCCACTCCAAATATCTTTGAACAAACTGCCTGTTGATATCCCCAACAAAGAAGAGGGAGGAAGTTTGTCAGTTGGAATAGTCATTTTGTAGAAATAATGTTTGGGGGATAATAGCATTTCATTGCCTTGACTTTTTTCTGCTTTTTGCAATCATAGCAACTCGAGATTCCTTGAAAAAAAGCAGCTGATTTCTACATTGTTTAGTATGTAGTGTATTTTGTATAGTTGGAAATTTTTAGTTTATGTACTTTATTTTCAATTTTATGAACTTTATTCTCTTAACTTTCTACATGGTGAATATTTAAAGATAGATATCTTTTTTTTTTTAATCCAGATAAAGTGATTTTATTACTTCGTCTTTACCTTTTCATGGTGTTTCTCTGGTTGTTCTTCAAGAGCTGCTCTGTGTTTGTGTGTGGGGGGTGGGTAGGTGCGGTAGAGACAGGTGTGGGGAAGGATGGTATTTTGGGGAGCAAGAAGAGGAAGACTAATAGGGAGAAAGAAGCTGGCTCATTTATACTTTTAAATCAGATTAGCTCTATGTTTTTATTTGTTGGACTGTTTTCTAAAATTGTTACTTTAAAAAATCTTTCTGTAGTTTACCAAAGCCAGGGAACCGCTACTCTGTTTTTCACGGTCTGTCAGCTTTCATATGAGCACTGAAGTAAATACTGGTATTTTTCAGGCCAGACAATATTATTTCTACTCAGTGTTGTTAATATTTCTGCTGTGTTCCTTCCAGATATTTAGTATAAGTTTATAGGTCCTAAAATAGGATTCATATCATTGTAAGGTTAAAACTTTTCTGATAGTGGAACCCTGCCTCAAAGTGGACTGTTTTGTTAAAAAAAAAACTATATATACACACACACAC